AGGAGGAAGAAATAGTACTTTCTTGTCTCATAGCATTAGCAACCAGGCTATTGTTCACCAGTCTCTTAAAAGCTCCTGGCTCAGCACTGATCCTGCGAAAGACCGTATTGAGATCACAAGCTTGCTTCCCCACAGGACTCTGTCTGTGAACAGTTTGGATGTTTTAGGTCCTTGTCTTGTTTGTGGAACTGATGCAGAAGCAATTTATGTTACTAGACAACTTTTTTCATGAAAATACTGTATTTATAAGATTTCAAGTAAAAGCATACAGTTAGCCTTTCAAATTCAATCTTCTATGTAAATTTTTGTTACTAGAAAATGTGAAATTTGCAAGGGAAGCATCAGTAAACTGTTAATGGCAATGCCCAGTTTTGGATTTTGTTAGTTGAATATTCGCCTAACAGTCGCAGAATCTGGTAAGTGACTGATCCAGCAAAAGTACAGGAACGTGTGGCTGAACATCAGAGAGGGTGATCCTTGTGTTGATGAACACACTGCCTTCAGACACTGTCCTGGACAGCTCATAAAACCTACTTTTCATTTTTCATGTTATGAAGCAATACGGTCGAACCACCACAGTTTTGGGTTCATATTCTTTTTATCAACAGTATGTGGCATTAGTCAATGTTAATGTTTATTCTTTTTATTGCAATTTTTTCTTCAATTCTTCCCCATTTCATTTCTTTAATAATTTTAATAAGCTTTTTCAGAAATAATTAAATAGAACAAAAATGACCAATGTTTTTAAAGGTGAAAATGTTGTGACAGGTTCCTTTATTAGAATACATTTGAATAGAACTCTATCAACTGCTTAGACCCAACTTTCTTGAAAAGAAGAAAAATACATTTTTCCTATGGATTTTTGCTTTTGTTTAGTTTTACAGTGTAGTCAGAGATTACTGAACTGGACATTGTGCAATAAAATAGAATTTGACATTGATAAGTGAGCTGACTTCTAAACTAAAATTTGATATGTAACATGTATGAGATTAGTATTGATGTGGCAAGAGTAAAGAATTTTGCCATCTTTATCCTCATCCAAAATGTTAATATTGACCTAGCATAGTGTTTTAAGACAGGTTTATGACACTGTCTTTCCAAAGTTTATTGGGTTAAATGCATTATTGAATTGGTAAGACCTTAACGACAAATCTATTATATAATTGAAGTGTGTGTTCATTTACTTTATAATGCCAATAATAGTAATTCTGGTAAAGTTTTGTTTTTCTTTCCTAATAAATACTTTAAATGTTTTTATGTCACTTTATCTCAGGGTTTTTTGTTTTTTGTTTTTTTGTCAACATTTAAAAATGGAATACATATACACATCTGCTTTTTTATATATATTTGGTTCGAAAATGTTTCATTAATGATAATTAGTAACTTTGAATTCCAAAGAATCAGAGAAGGAAAGAAAATGTTGCTGATAGGAATTTTTAATCTGTTTATAGTTTTATTGCTGGGACTAATTTTTAAGACTTTCTGTTATAGCAAAAGTAATTCATTACAGAAAAAAACAAATATAGTCAAAAGAAAATTTTAAGTACTTACAATCTCAGACAATAATCTTTCATACCTTTTTTATCCATCAATGTATAATTATTTTTTGTAAAAACTAACTGTATTATACATAACTATATTTGTAGATGCATATTCCCTAACAGTAAAAACATGGATTCAATAATATAAACATAGTTATGAATGTTCCTTTGGCTTTATATTTCCCTTTGTATGAATGCCTTGCTGCAGCCTGAACTGCAGCGTCCCTCTCATCACCCAGCATAAGCACCCTCCCATTACAGTCAGCGACTAACATCCTTGTTCTGAGTCGATCTCACTTCTAGAAGACCCTAGCTCCCAGGTGGTACATTTTCCATGTACAGTGAATGGCAAGCTTGTTGTGACTCTGATTTCATCTGCATTATCTGCTGCTGAAAAGTTTAAAGGTTTGATATATGTCATCAGCACCCTTTTCAGTTTTCAGCAGCAATGTATACAATTTCCCTTGATTATTATAGTGAATAATTGGTAAAGGGAAGGAGCCAGACGTCTAGACTTAGAATACTAGCTTGGAATGGAAACAATTTTAAGTCTGAAGCTTTGCTTTGATTTAAGGGTATTTATAACCATGTGTAAAAGAAAGTACATTTGAATAGTGTTAACATTCAATAAGAAACAAGCTTTATGTAGTATAAATAAAACCCCAATATGTATATGAATTTGCTCATTGTCACTTACTGCCTTTATTCATGAAACTATCAAATAGAGTTTTTTGAAGGCTGCAAGAGATGAGAGGTAGAAGGCCCCCTTAGAGGGCATCTCCAACCTAAATTTAATCATCTCTTCCACAGCATTCCCAAGTTTTCATCCATATACTGTGACACAGTTTCCCCATTCCCAGTGCAGCCTCTCCTCATTTGGACAGTCTAGGTGACAGTGTTACGGCAAGATTTTAGTGTGTAAGTGGGACTCAACCCTGTAAAAAAAGGTAGAAGAGTGTTATTGTGCGTTAGTAAAATGATGTGAACCTACTATGAGAGCCAATTTACTGAATTTGCATTATGTTGGGGTACTTGACCATAAGGTTTCACTAAATAAATGAATTTTCATTTATTAAAGTGAAATATGCTTCCATTTGTCTTTTTTCCTCAGGAGCCACACACACCAAAAAAAAACAAAAAAAATTCACATATTCAAAACTACATATGGTAGACTTTGGGGCAAAACTTTTTAATCCATCTTTTTAATGGTTTCTTATGGGCAAGGTTCCCTTCCCAGCCTTTCTTGTCCTGCTTGGCTAAATCCTGCTTACCCTTCTGGACTCCTGTTTTCTCACAAAACCCTTCCCTGCTCTCTTGGCAGTCTGGGCAGAGGCTTTTGCTGGGGTGAGTCCTCAGGCAAGAGGATAAGGTGCCACTAGGCGGAGGAAGTGATTTCGCTCACACAGATGGGAAGGTGTTGGAGCACTGGAGTATTTGAACACTAAAGAGCTGGGTAATAAAACGTGCTGAGCTGGGGTGGGGAGCAGTGAGTGGGGAGGAAAGTGGCTGAGATGTGTCCGGTGAAGTGAACCCCTCCATGGGGCTGCAGGGGAAGTTCAAGAGTGGAGGGAAGTGGAGATGCTGGAGGGTTTTTGAAGTCGTGACTTGGGCAGAGTAAAGCGAAACTTCTTTGTGGTTGACTCTTGTGACTCCTCGGTTTGGTGGTTTGTGCATATCCCATACATATCCTTTAAGTGAAGCTGTCACACTGTTAAAGCTGTCATAAACTGTTAAAGGTGTCAGAAAGTGCCAGGGCGTACACCCGGCACTCCGAGTGCTCGGGATGGCGGGCCCTGGATGCGTGGGGCGGGGCCTGGGGGAACGGGGGCGGGACGCTGCAAGCCGGCCCGCGGAAAGCGGGTGGCGGTCAAAAGTTGGGCATTTAAATCTCCCTGTGCAACTTGGGCATCTCGGGCTCAAAGTGAAGTGGCAGCGGAGAGAGACGGGGCGGGCCGGGCTGTGACCAAAGTTTCCTCAGAAATTCTAGGCGCCACCGATCACCGTCTCCTGTTCGCCCAGCAGTACTTTTTCGTCTCCTGCGGACCTCCACGCCTGCAGAGCTACAGCCGGCTCCGAAGAAAACTGGGGGTGGGAGGAAACGCTCCCTGATACTTTCTCCGCGATGGTGCGAACTGTCGGCTCTCGGTTCGGTCTTCTACTCCTGACCTGGCTTCTGCTGCCCGTTTGTACCTGGGCTGCGCGCTGCGTCTGGGCTCGCGGCGGTGAGTTGGGGTGGGGACATACAGGGGGGCGTTGGGGTGACGGGGTAGGAGGGAGGCAGGAGGAGGTGGGGCATTGAGACCGGGGATGGGTGCGAGGTGCGCAAGGGAGTTCGCGAACCTTCCCGCCGGGTGGCGCCGCCCCCTCCTCAGTTCTCTCTGCGGGCTCATTATCGCCTTGGCGGCTTGAGGGGCCCATTGTCGCCATCCCCGCAAGAAAGGGGACCAAAAAGAGGCGGCTTGGGAGAAAAAGTGATGTTGGGCAAATTGGGGGTGGGTAGGAGCGGGCGGGGAGAAGAAGGGAGGGAGAGCGGGCGCAGCAGTCAATGCTGCTTAAGACCCAACCCCCAGCCTGCCTTGTGGGAGTGGGGGCCTGAGTCACCGGACTCCCAGCGTCAGAACAGAGCACTTCCGCAGGGTCGCGTACAAGAATAACCACATACCCCTACTGTGCACACACAGCTTTGCCCCCCACTGCCGTCCACCCTTGGACTGAGCGGGCTCTGCCAGCTGATCGCCTAACTATGCTGCCCCAGACTCTCCCCTTTGTTCACAAGCCGGTATTTTCCACCTGCTGAGGAGGCAGCAGCATGTAATGGTCAGTCATTACACAGTCGCAAAGGGCAGGCTTTTGATTTTCAGGCCACTTTAGTGCCTGTCGCTGTATGCTCTACACACCTCCACGTTTGTGTGGCAGAAACAGCCAGACAACATGCAAACGAGTGGAGAACAAGATTTATACTTTCCTGTACTGCTGACCCCAGATTTAGGGTACATAGCGTATCTCAGATATGGCTGCCCCTGTCCCCTTGGGGATTATCTCTCAGGGAGCCTCCTCTTTTAAAAAGCCAGAAACGTGTCCTATCCTGCCCATGGCTTCTGAGTGCAGTGACTGTGAGAGGATGTGGGACTGTATGGGACACTGCTCCCTCCTTTCTGTAGGCTGGATTCCTTGGCTCAAGGGGACTTTGGAGACCCGGCATGACCATAGGTGTGACCTGAGGCTCGTGGTGGGGCAACATTTCTGGCATTAGGATCAGGGCCACCTGCTTCTGTATTTCATTTGTTCCCTGTAGGGGGCCGGCCCAGTGGCTCAGTTGGCTAAGATCTCGCTCAAAAGACCCTGAGCAACAGGATCTCCGTTTTTTGGGGGGTTGTTTTTTACGTATATTCTTTTTTTTTTATTTCTGCAATGAGTCCATATGCTATCTCATAACTTAATAAAAATGTTGCATTTCAAGTAAAGAATTTTAGATTGCTTTAACTTTGTCTACCTCTTTTTTACAAACAGAAATACCAGTCTTGGTTTACTGGCTTGTCCTCATGGAGTATATGCTTCCAAGCTATTCCAAAGTGAAAACAATTACTTCCTGCTCCTGTTATTAATCTAGTACAAGTAAGAAAGTGACAGGAAGAAGGGATGCTGGTTTTCTGATGATCAGATGTTGAGAACATGCAGGCCTGCTTCAAATTTTATTAACTGGTACCTTATTTATTCCATGATTCAGTGTAGCTGAGGGACACAAAATCACAAATTTCTCCATAATGGTTTTGCTAAAAAGGTGAAGTTGGGAGTAGACCCTGAATCTGAATCTCGTAGGAATTAAAATCACACCTAATCACAGGATCTCCAGTTTGATTCACGGTTTGATTCATGGCCAGAGCTGAGCTGCCAACAGGTGGCAGGACGGCTCAGCTAAAAAAAAAAAAAAAATTCTCTATTTGTTCCCTGTGACCTTGAGGGTTTCCATGCCTGAAAATCACTTCTTTCTTCACCCATAGAAATATAAGAGTCTCTGAATTGAGCAAATTAGGCAGCTTTTACACCTTTTAGACAAAGAAACAAAAATTTTGTGAAATTTTGACAAAGGGGTTTGATTTGGAATAGTATAATAAATTAGTTAAGAAGTAAGTAGGTTTGTTTATACAGGCTACTCAGCTTTAAATTCCTCATCTCTGGGACTAAGGATGTCTGTCTACCTCGTGATACCGGGAACGTACCTTGCACATGGGAAATTAATTTCCTGCTGCAGGGGGAGAAAGGGGTCAGAGTGTACTTCTTGCACTGCTGTTTCTTAAGTAACTTTATTAGGAATAATTGATATGCCAAAGTGGCACTTTTGGGGTTGCCTGACTTGAACCCCATCATCACCCTTTGCATTCTAATAAGTTTGATAAACAAAGAGTCCTCCAGGCCCTCCCATGGAGCATAGTTTGTGGACATTTTCTGTTTTCTTCTAGCTTTTCATGCTCTATCCATTCTGACATATGTATTTCTTGGAGCCTTTTAATCCCTCCCTGTACTGTGTGCCTTGGAAGTTCCTGATATTCTATTCCACACAGTGTAGCCATCCCTTTCCCAAAGTCCCAAGACCCATGCTAGCAGCAGGTTAGCGCCATCTCCCAGGGCCATGCTAAAACCGTGACACATGTCAACTCTGCCTTCCCCAAGTCCTCTCCTCACCCCGCACCCACTGTCATCCCGCTTCCTCAGGAGTAGCC